ATTTTTCTTCTTTTTAGGAAACAAATCAAAGAAAAAATTAACAAATTCTACTGTAACTAATATTCTGTATGTTGCTAAAAAACAAAATGTATTATGTTCAGCAGAAAAAAGTTTTTTTTTCTTTCTACCCAGTCATTTAAAAATAACAGATTATAGAGCTGTAACGACAACACCGTGACACTGTGATATTTTTGCTTAAGGTTATCATACCGTCTAAATCTCATACCGGCCCATGCCTACTCTCGTTACTACAAAGATGTGTTGGATCTGTATTATTAGAGCTTTCCGACTTGAGCGTTTTAGTTTAAGCATGTTTAGTTTAGTTAACGGAAGCTGCTGCCATCAGAGCAAGTGTAATTACTGCATTCACGCGCTCCTCGATGCTCTCGTTTCCCGAGTTCTGTTTTTAAGTCGGAATGTGAAAACAACATGGACACTCGCGTTACTACAAAGATGTGTTGGATTTGTATTATTAGAGCTTTCCGACTTGAGTTCAGGTGCATTTTCTCAGTCGGGAAATCATTTTTCACGTGCGGTGCCGGTGACGATGCTTCTTGTGTCCGTTTCGGAGAACCAGAGGACAGATATTTCAATCGATCGCTCAGGCATGGCACTGAAATCTGCGTTCGGATTCGGTTCTAGTACAACCCTATATGTGACAGAACCACACAGAGTCCCTGACCTCTGACTGACTCTCAAACACATCAGATTACCCACAACACACTGCTGCAGATCAGAAACCAACAGCAGAACATCTCACAACCCTCCACCAGCTGAGAGTGTGTTTATGATTAAACATGACCAACTAACTTCCTAACTACAAACACAATGACTGATGTTCCCCATTCTGCTTTGGTTCATATGAATAACTAACAGTTAAACTGATCCCAAACACAGCTGACCTTCATCAGCCGGAGTCATCGTCACAGACACCAGATGAAGATAAACAGAAACTCCATCATGAGGAGCATCTCCAACAGCTCATCACATGTCTCATGTAAGACTCGTTTTTGTCTCATTCCTCACAACACATGAACACTGAAGAGCAGAGATGAAGATGATGAGGATCACACACACACGATCTTCATCACACAACACTGCTGTCAATCTACGCGTCATGTCAAAAGAAGTGAAATAAAGTGTGTGTGTGTTCAGATGTTTCAGGATGTTATATGCACACAATGTTTCTATCACAACATTCAATGTAACAATAACAACACAACAGCACTGCCTGAACACGAGCAAAACATCTGGAAAGGACGTTTCATTCATCCACGGAGCAAAAGAATAAATAAATATAAATATGTTCAGGAAAGAGTCTTTTGAGCGATTACTCCAGCATGTTATGACCCATGATGCTCTCCGTCCCCGCGACGAAACGGCAGAAAGAGCGCGGACCGGAGCGGCGCGCGTCGCGCTGAGGAGCAGATATATATCCTCTGTTAGAAATCACTTTTAATTTCAGTCAGAAATCACTTTTAATAATGAAATAAACAGCGCGCCCCTCCCTGCGGCTGCCACATTCACACTGCACACAAGCGGACCGCCCCGACGCCGCTGCCGCGCTCCCGCCCCCCGCCGCTCCGCTGCCTGTGATTGGACAGAGACCGAGACTTCTGCAGCGGTGATTGGGCGAATCTTCACTTCAATCAAAGACGCGCTCCGATTCCGTGTTCCTGACTGTCAGGTCTGACTGTCAATCAGCGCGTCCTGTGAGCTCATCTCTGATTGGCTGAATATGCTCCCGCCCACTTCCCTGGGCCAGGTTAGACCCGCCTCTTCCGCGCTGACATACGGGGTATTTAACAGCGTCACCGTCTACACAGCATTGTCTCAGATTCGTGTGTGATGGCTCATGAGAGTGTAATTCATTTCCATTGTTTTACAGTGATTACAGAGTTTTTCACCCGTATTATGGATGTGCTCATAAAGTTTAGATTATGTGTGCATCATTTACACTATATTTATGAAACAGTATTTCTGACATTTATTCTGCCATATTAAGAGAAGTTTCCTCTCTGCACCATCATGCAACATGTCATTTTTAGTTGCTCTTTTTTGCTTTGGGGTTTGGATATTGTTGTACACTGTGTTTAATCAGATGTTGTTTAAGCAGACTTGTTGCAGTGCACATGAACACATTTACAGTGATTAATTAAATGGGAGGGTGGGACGTTACACTGTTTCACAAATATAGCCTCAAGTCTTCATATTTTCTAAAGATTATAATGTGTAAACAGGAGACTAGACTGATAAAATCAATTACTAATGTATGACACAGAAAGGGACGTGACGTAACCACCCACAAAAGTGCTGGTATTATGAAGCAAACTCAGCCACAGCGTTACATCAGCAACACAACTAGACGTTCATCCTATAGAACAGCTCTAAACATGATTTCTGCTCCTTTCTAAAGACTTATGAATGAGATGATATTCATAGAGACACTGAATATAGACGGCTCTTATTCTAGAGAAGGAGAAACCCATTCATCCATCTGTCTGTCTCTCACACACTCACTAGACTGAAACACTTCAGTCATGTTTCTTGTGTGTGTGTGTGTGTGATGCTGTTGACTCTGGTGTGTCTGTAGAGAAGAGAAGAGAAAGTGTTGGAGCAGCTGAGTTCAGGAATGTTCTTCAACAAGCCCTGACGCGACTCTGAAGCCATTCGCATAGCTTCCCTATTCTGCCAAACACACACATTAAAGACTTATGAATGAGATGATATTCATAGAGACACTGAATATAGACGGCTCTTATTCTGGAGAAGGAGAAACCCATTCATCCATCTGTCTGTCTCTCACACACTCACTAGACTGAAACACTTCAGTCATGTTTCTTGTGTGTGTGTGTGTGTGTGTGTGTGATGCTGTTGACTCTGGTGTGTCTGTAGAGAAGAGAAGAGAAAGTGTCGGAGCAGCTGAGTTCAGGAATGTTCTTCAACAAGCCCTGACGCGACTCTGAAGCCATTCGCATAGCTTCCCTATTCTGCCAAACACACACACACACACTCTCGCTCTCACTCACACACACTCACTCTCTCTCTCACACACACACACACACACACTCACACACACACACACTCACTCTCTCTCACTCACACACACACACACACTCTCTCACACACACACACACACACACACACACACGTAGCTGCAGAGAACTAGTGTGAAAGAGCTTGCACAAAAATACTTTCCCTCCAGCCAGTGACACACAGGAACGTTCTGGAACACAGACAAGAGGAAGTGATCAAAACATCTCCTCAGAGACCGTCTCCCAGCTCTGCTCTGAGTGAAGCTGCTCTTCATCTGTCAGTCTGAAGACCTCCTGTTTTCTATCATTTATAGGTGACTTTACTATTACAGAGACACTTGTCTTTTGACTGACAGCATGAGATCTGGGCTCTATAGCTGCTTCAGATCCACTAGAACAGTGTGTGTGTGTGTGTGTGTGTGTGTGTGTGTGTGTGTAACAGTGTGTGTGTGTGTGTGTGTGACGAGCTGCACTGATCATTACAAACACACAGTCAATCAGCCTGACTGACCCACCGGATGAGAGCGAAAGTATATACTTAATATAATAAATCATATTTTCGGTCAGTTACATTAATGAAATCTAATAGAATTAAACATCCTATAGAGCAGGGCTGGGCAGCTTCGGTCCTGGAGGGCCACTGTTCTAATCAAACACACCTGAACAAGCGAATCAGTGTCTTCAGGATCACTAGAAAGCTACAGGCAGGTGTGTTTGATTGGGGTTGGAGCTAAACTCTGCAGGACAGTGGTCCTCCAGGACTGCTAAAGAGAGTAAAGTACAATGTTTCTTTTATCTTCTTTTCACAGTGAAGCTGCTGTGGAACAACCCGTCTGATGCTGCCATCTAGTGATCACCGTTTGTACTGCTAGCTGCACTGACTGATCTTTGAATAAATGCAGTTTCAAAGCAGCTTCATCTGTGGCTGGTGTTCAACTCGACTGATTGAGATACAGCAACGTTTGTTTCTTTCACCTATCATTATTATGTATCTATTGTGAATAAATGGTCATGGAATACATACCATTTGTCACGTTGCAGCACTATTGAATTATTAACGATCAGATAAAATCACCATAACCTGTTTATTCATCAGGTCATATTGAAGATCGGGTCATGGCTGTATCAGGAGTTTGGAGATATTTTCACTGGCTGTATCTTGTAAACCGTTCAAGCTTGATGTTGTTGGACTGAGAGATTCTCAGATGATGTGATGAATGAACAGACTCACACGCTCCACATTCATCACTGCAGTGGCTTTATTCTGTAGAGAGTTTCACTGTATTCCTTCATCAGTTAATGAATGTCTGCTGGCAGTCAGAGACTCACGTGAGAAAAACTAAATCTCCATTACAACATCAGCACATGGAAATATATTTACAAGATCAAAACACACAAATAAAACCACATATTACCAAATTTGAAATTTACAAAATTAATTTAAGAGTCAAATTTCTCTTTTAAAAAAACCCAGGAACACCAGAATGTTTGCTCTCTGTAGAAACACTTCTGTGTTCACATACAAATGTTTGAGATTTAATTACTCTGTGTGTGTGTGTGTGTGTGTGAGAGAGAGTGAGAGAGAGTGTGTGTGTGTGTGAGAGAGAGGGAGAGAGAGTGAGAGAGAGAGAGAGAGTGTGTGTGTGTGTGTGTGTGCGAGAGAGAGAGAGAGAGAGTGTGTGTGTGTGTGTGTGTGCGAGAGAGAGAGAGAGAGAGTGTGTGTGTGTGTGTGTGTGCGAGAGAGAGAGAGAGAGAGTGTGTGTGTGTGTGTGTGTGCGAGAGAGAGAGAGAGAGAGTGTGTGTGTGTGTGTGTGTGCGAGAGAGAGAGAGAGAGAGTGTGTGTGTGTGTGTGTGTGTGAGAGAGCGAGAGAGTGTGTGTGTGTGAGAGTGTTAGTGTGAGAGAGAGTGTGTGTGTGTGTGTGAGAGTGAGAGAGAGTGTGTGTGTGTGTGTGAGTGTGAGAGAGAGTGTGTGTGTGTGTGTGTGAGAGTGAGAGAGAGTGTGTGTGTGTGTGTGTGTGTGTCAGTCTGAGCTCTGGGGCAGAATGTTGTATCCCAGCTGGATCAGGGCTCCGGTCAGCAGCGTCCAGAGCGGCACACAGATGATCAGCAGCCGCAGGTTGGTCAGCTGCTCCAGCCGCGCGCACAGAGTCACACAGAAGCCCACCTTCATCATCAGAGCCAGCAGATACCAGACCTTCAGCCGCGGGTCGAACCCGGCCCGGCAGCGCCCCGCCACCTTCACGCCCAGCATCAGCAGCAGGATGCTGTCAAAGATCCAGACGGGCAGAAAGATCAGGAACCAGCTCCATTTGACCTTTCCATCCAGCTTCAGCACCAGCAGCACGAGGAAGAGGAGCGTGAAGATCCAGGTGAGCAGAACCCGCTGCGCCAGAGACATCTGCACCGCCTGACCACACAATCAGCTCCGGCAGGTCAGTCACCCACTGTAAAAATCATCATCATCATCCTCATCATCATCCTCATCATCCTCATC